TGTCACCTGAAACACGTCATGTGTGTTGCCGGCAACACCGGGGCCGATCCTGACTAAAATTGCATGCCGTCATCAAATGGGCGCGGGCGCATCTTGAAGCTGTGAACTTCCGGCTTTTCGAACTTGCAGCCACCGACCGCTTCGAGAGCATAAAAAGTTCGACCCGCGTGATTTTGAGATAGGCGATCAGCTACTTGGTCTGCCTCTGCCCCAGTTAGGTGTTTGTAAGTCGGCGCACCTCCCTGCGGAGACCAGACCATCCAAAACCTAAGCTGCTTATCTCTGTCCATAAGGGGCGTGCCCTTAGAGACACGATGTGAACAGTGTTAAAGTTGTGCTGAATTCGGTTGCAATTTCCTGATTAATTGTTAGTTGTAACAATGTGATTTATTGGAATTGGGGGCAATTTCATGCGCAGCTTCTTTTTTGCTGTTTTGTTTTCTTTGGTGGCTACCTCAGCGAACGCCGTCGTGTATGTAAAAATCAAAAATGTCGGAACAGATCTTGTGGTCTCTTATCAAGGCAGCGTCGATTTGAGATCAACGACTGGAAAAGCTGACAAGCGATTTATTAACAGTACACTATTGCTTGATCTCGGAGACGGAGTTGGTGCTATTTCGACCCACAATGCGTTCGGGTTTTTGGATGGCTACGGCCTCAATGTAAGTTCTATCGTGGCTCCAAAAGTTGATCTTTTTAAAAAATGGGCTCTTAGTGGAAAACATACAGGCGATAACTTTGTTGTTCAAATATCTCCGATCCTCAATACCGCACATTTATGGCTGCCTGACGGATACGTTTCAGGCTCCTTTTTCTCGGGCACGAGTGTTTTCTCAAACAATAGTCTGTCTCACATGCAGGCGGCGGCTCGTGGGACATATGAGTGGTCTTGGTCTAACGGAGTCTATTCAGATAGTCTCAGAGTGACGCTTGTCCCCGTCCCAGCAGCACTTTCTCTTCTGGCTGGAGGACTCGGGGTGCTCGGTCTGATGGGCTGGCGCAGAAAGCGTTCCACCGCTTAATCATCATCGAGATCAGCACAAGGATAGGGCGGTCCTTCGGGGCCGCTTTTCGTTTGCGGGCCCTTTCCTTTCAAAATTTGCCGAGCCTTTTCACGACACCGGATACACCTTATATGAGCCGCTAACTTGTCCAGAAAATCGGGACCAGTTCAGTCTAAGAATCTAGGGGCTTCTGTGGTTGCCGCTCTGAATGCAAGAAGTTTCTGATCCTTGGGTGTGATCGAGTGCGGTCTTCTGTCAGGCCTTCCAATTGCGGCACTTAGGAAGCCGCTGGCCGATATGGTGATCAGCGGATCAGATCCAAATCTATTCAGCGAGCTGATTGCTCCAAGCCCCTATCTGGTTATCCTGATCCAGATCTGTTCGATCATTTTACCCATATGGATCGTCGACGTTCTCACACCTCCATCACCGGCATTAGACTGCCCCGAGCCGCACCTCTGTCATGCAGCAGCAGCCTTCGCCGGATTCTGATAATCTTGTCCTTTCGTCAACATGGCCCAAATCGTTCGTGCCATCTTGTTTGCCAACGCGATGGCCACCAGCATTCTCGGCTTCCTGGCCAGCATTCGCGACAGCCAAGACTTCTCCGATATCGTCTTTCGCCCCAGCCAATTCAGACGAGACATCGCGCCCACTATCAGGAGCCGCCTGATGTCGGCCTGCCCCGCCTTCGATATACGGCCAAGCCGCTCTTTGCCTCCAGACGAATGTTGCCGTGGAACCAGACCCAACCATGCCGCGAAATCTCGCCCGCGCCGAAAACTCTCCATCGGCGGTGCAAAAGCCTCAACGGCCAACGCACTCATTGGTCCTATGCCTGGCATTGTTTGCAAGCGGCGCGCCGTATCGGTTTGAGTTGCCAGAGCACCGATCTGTTTGGTCTTGCTCTCAATTCGTTGCGTTTTCTCTGAGATCTGCAACAGAATATCGCGACACTCGTCGCCAACTAATTCGGGCAAATCGCTGTTCTCAGCTTCGATGATCGCCACGATCCGCTTCAGATGCCCAATACCCGGTGGTGTTGGATGGCCAAACTCATAAAGGACTGAACGCAAAGCATTCACCAGCTCTGTGCGCTGACGCACAAGCCGCTCTCTTGCTCGAAAAAGAAATGCCTGTGCTTGCTGAGTTTCGGCCTTTGGGCTGATAAAACGCATCTCAGGTCGTTGAGCGGCGATGACTATCGCTTCGGCATCCGCGGCATCGTTCTTCTGCCGCTTCACGAAAGGGCGCACGTACTGGGGAGCGATCAGTCTTACATCGTGACCTAGCTTGCTCATCTCGCGCGCCCAGTAATGAGCACTGCCGCAGGCCTCCATCACGACCGTCGCCGGAAGCTGTTCAGCCATGAACCTGCGAAATTGCTGCCGCGTCAGCTTCCGCCGGAACTTGATCTGTCCGGCCATGGAAGCTCCGTGGACCTGAAAAACTTTCTTGGACAGATCAATCCCGATCATCGTCTCTTTTGTCATGCTCGCCTTCCTCTCCACCCATTAGACCTAACCCGGCGATCCTCCAATAGAATGCGTCGGGTGGGTAGAGCGGCAACCACTCCATCTATTCATGCGGCAAGAATGCTTGAACGCCTCCTGGTTCCTGTCCATGGTAGATGCACGAGCCCGCATCAATGAATGGAGGGTCGACTACAACGAAAACCGGCCGCATTCATCGCTCGGAAACTTGACGCCGAGCGGCTTTGCAGCCCAACTGGATGAAGCCCGAAAAGTCGCATAAAACCCGGACCAGAAACTGCGTGAGCTCAAATTTGGACGAACCACTTCAAAGGGGGAGGATCAGCGGACCGTCCTTGCCGCGCAGGGCAACGATGCGCTCGACGATCTCTTCCAGCGGTGCGTCCTGGACCAGGTCGTCCAGCCGCTTGTAGGCGTGCCCGAGAACCTTTGCACGCGCCCTCGCGGCTTCATAGCGCGCTTCGGCCTGGCCGCCGCCGCCGGCGACGAGTGACGCCCAGTAGAGATTGCAGGCTTCTTCCAGCGCGTCCCGGCGAATGCGGGCTGTCTCGATGGAGCTGGTTCCAAGCGCTTCCTGAACCACGCCGCGTGTGTCGAGATGCTGAACGGATTTCGGCACCCGGCGATAGAACCGCCAGCGGCCACGGAACAGCTGCAGATACCGGTCTTCTTTCGCCATAAAGAGCACTCCAAAAGACACATGTTATGTCTTTTGTTATGTCTTTTGTAATGTCTTTTCAAGAAAAGGTGCGAAAACTTTAAAGGCGCCTCGAAAGGCGCCTTTAAAATCAATCACTTGGCAGGTGATTTATGGTGCGGTCGAGAAGACCCGCAAATATCAATTTCTTGTTATTTTACAATAGCAATGTTAATCGGAATTCAATTTTGTTATGTCCTTTGCTATGTCAACCGCACCACCGTGAATTGGGAATAAGCGCACTTGTCAAACGAGACGCGCCACGTGCCAAAGCAGACCATCAACAAGTTCACAGTAGTCTTGTTTTGTGAATTACGGATCTCGCTCAGCTAACCCGCGTGTGATCCTCCGCAATCCCAAGATTTTGACCGAGTTGTCTTTCGCTCATCTAATGCACTGGATCGTATTGATCAGCACATCACTGCGCGCTGTAAACGTCGGCCAAAGACATCGGTGACCGCGGAAGAACAACCTTCTCGAGATACAATTTCCACCTACCTGCGTTCGAATACCGGTAATATGTCAAAAGAATAGCTTTAATGTCAGCTAGATTTCCTGTTCATTGTAGCCAACGAGCAAACTGCCAAAATAGCAGCTCATAGAGTTGGAAATACAAGCCGCTACCTTGGCTCCGCAACAATAACTTGAACGAAGTTGAAGGCCTTCAATCAGATGTACCAGAAATTTCGAAAGCTCAGGAGCAACTTCCGCCAATCGAGGCGTCACAAAAGAAACAAAAGAAAGAAGTTGTTGAAATTTGAAGGTGTCACCAAGCTTAACATATTGAAAACATTCCCATTGTTCGCTCCTGGTGGAGATGGAAACTACAAAATGTGGGAACCTTTTGCAATTCTAGCGATCAACGAGACCCTGCCGCTTCTCGCATCACTTGTAAGAGACGAACACTACAAAATACTGACAGTCGACGAATTTGTCATGAGTGATAAAAGCGAAGCATCGGAACTTGGCGATATTTTTGCCCGAATGGGATCAGACAAATCTACTACGCACGACTACTACAGAGTTTATTTTAAAATACTGAACGAAGTCAGAGAGAATGAACTTAAGTTATTTGAAATAGGCCTCGGCACAAACAACACTGACGTCATTTCAAACATGGGTTCAACTGGAAGACCGGGAGCATCACTCAGAGCGTTTAAGGAGTTCCTGCCAAACAGCTCTATCTTCGGTGCTGACATTGATCAGAGAATCCTCTTCACTGAGGAAAGGATTCAAACGTTTTACGTAGATCAGACCGAACAAAAGACGTTTGAAGAATTGGACCTTAACATAGGCAAAGACTTTTATCTGATGATCGAAGACGGGCTCCATGTTTCCAACGCCAACCTTCGATCTTTTGCGTTTTTCATGACGCATGTGCAGCACGGTGGCTGGATTATCATCGAAGATATTGGGGAGGCCGCTCTTTCCGTTTGGAAATGTGTGTCGTCGATACTTCGTGACAGGTTTGATTGCTATGTAATCAAAACGAAATCAGCCTACATGTTTTGCGCGAGGAAACTTTAACAACTTCATAGTATTTGACACATGCCGTTTTATGGTTGATGTGGACTACAGTTTTCTCTTAAATAATCATGACTTTGATTACTAAAAGTTCATCAATATATTCCGGATGATATCCACCAATTCAAGAACTTTACATCGAAGAATTTGGCAAGTACTTCGTGCGGCAAACAGCGAAACAACAAGGCTTAAACCATTGTATTGAAATCCCCAGAAGGCCAACAAAGCGGGAATAGCTTACGTTGGTAAGACCGTGATCGACCGCATGGTCATCCCTCCGTCCTACACGGCCGCGACCAGACTTGGATCATTCTCAGACCTGGACGAATTGACCTCCCTACCGACACGATAGAACTCGAAGCTTGCCCCGAGATTGTTGGACAGAAGCGCTTTTACATCGCTCACTGCGGTCGCCGGATCCAGCCAGGCATCATAGTGCTCGGACGAAAACACGATCGGCATGCGGTTGTGAACCTGGTCAATCGGCGAGCCAGCTGCAACTGTCAAGATGGTGCAAGTGGTAACTTCGGCGCTGGTGTTGTAAGCCCAGAGCCCGGCGAAGGAAAACGGCGCAATGTCCTTGAGATGGATGAACCAGGGATCAGAGGTGGCTCGGTTTGTCTGAACAGTTCGGGGCGTTTTGCTAAGTGGATTTCCGCCTCGATTATGCCGCCACCATCATCGGCGTCAGCGCGTTGAAGTAGGCCTGATCCGGCGTCTGCCGGTCAAGGGATGAATGTGGGCGTCGTGTGTTGTAAAAGGTCAGATAGCGGCCGATGCCAGCGCGGGCCTCGGACACGGTCTTGTAAGCGTGGAGGTAGACTTCCTCGTATTTGATAGACCGCCAAAGCCGCTCGACGAAGACATTGTCCCGCCAAGCGCCCTTGCCGTCCATCGAGATGGCGATCTCAGCTTTCTTCAGCACCGCCGTAAAGTCGATGGAAGTGAACTGCGAACCTTGGTCAGTGTTGAATATTTCTGGCTTGCCATAGCGAGCCAGTGCCTCCTCGACTGCCTCGATGCAGAAGGCTGCCTCCATAGTGATCGACAGCCGCCACGACAGAACCCTCCGGCTGAACCAGTCCACAACGGCACAGAGGTAGACAAAACCGCGAGCCATCGGAACGTAGGTTATGTCCATTGCCCACACCTGGTTGGGCCGGGTGACCGCCAGCCTTCGCAGGAGATAGGGATAGATTTTGTGACCTGGCGCTGGTTTCGAGGTGTTCGGGCGGCGATAGATCGCCTCGATGCCCATCTTCTTCATCAGCGTGGCGACGTGAAGCCGCCCGACACTCAGCCCTTCTCCATTCAAGAGCCCTTGCAACATCCGGCTTCCCGCGAACGGGTAGTTGAGATGCAGTTCGTCGATCCGGCGCATCAGAGCCAGATCGCTCTCAGACACCGGACGAGGCAGATAATAGACACTGCCACGGCTGAAGCCGAGAAGCTTTGCCTGGCGCACAACCGATAGCTTATGCTCGCGGTCGATCATTTCTTTCCGCTCAGCAATCCCGCCTTGCCGAGCGCTCCGGCTAAAAAATCATTCTCCAGCGTCAGCTCCCCGATCTTGGCATGCAGCGTTTTGACATCGACGGTCGGCCCTGCCGGTACCGCCTTCGATTCATCGCCGAAAACGCTTGTCGCTCCCGTAAGAAGCTGGTCTTTCCACTGCTTGATCTGGTTGGCGTGCACGTCGAACTGCTGGGACAGTTCCACCAGTGTCTGCTCGCCTTTGATCGCGGCAAGCGCAACTTTCGCCTTGAAAGCCGGGCTGTGGTTCCGGCGCGGTCGTCTCGTCATCGTCTCTCCTGTTTCCGGCATCTAAGCCAAAGTCAGGCAGAAATTCCACTTATCCCAGCTGTGCAAATTTCCCGAGCCAGCTCTATCGCAAGAATGGATCCAGGACATCCACCTTGGCATTGTAGGCCATTTGAGGCATGTGATGAGAGCGTTTGCGTTCGGGTTTTGGCGCCTCTAGTGGGGTTCGAGCTTCATAAGTCTGAGGTCCAAGAGAACGGGTTTGTCATCGTTGGATTCAACGGTGACGAGAGGAGTGCAACAGTCTTTCCTTCATTGGAGGCTGCTCATCAATTTGTCGAAATTGATCGTTCGAAAAATCGCGCAACATCGATACTAATTCCAAACAAACAAGTTTCTGACAGCCGTGGTTTTGACCTTTACGTAGTTGGCACGAGAGGTACTGGCCAACGTTTTGTCGCTAAAGAAAGTCTGCGAATTAGCTGTGGCAGAAAATTGCAAAAATGAGACTGGTGCAAAGGTCAAGTGTTTTGAAAACACGGGGCCTGATCAAAGGAGCCGACATGTCGGACAAGCCGGAAATACTCGCGCACGCCCAGCGATACAAACAGAACTTAGAATTCTCCATGGATGCTCTAAAACAAGCTCTTGAAGATGCTCGCGCACCCGGCGCTACATACGGTTTTGTTCGTGTGGATCACGATGGTTGTTTTGAACGAATAGATCCTAGTCGAGTTCGAGTTGAGCCTGAAAAACCAAGAGGTGACGATGGCTGCCAGGATAGTGACTCATAAGGAGCCGGGATGGCTGATGTTGCAGCGGTGACTAAGCGTTTGGATGTCAGTTCTATCGCTGGCGGGTTTCTGCCTGGCGTAGCAGTTACCGCCGTTGCGTATGAATTTCCCGAACTTGTTCGAAAAAAATACGCGACGTTTTTGGACTGCCATGACGATGCGACTTTGGAAGATTGACCGATGCGCGGCAATAAGGATCTGGCTGGCGAGTTCTGCGCTGCCTATTCTAGAAAACACGGCTTAAAAAAATACGAGCCCAGCCAATGCCGGGTAGAGTCTTATTGCAGTGCGGAACCATGCTGTTTCGATGACCGCGGCCATATAGATCTAAGTTGCAACCGGACAGCTCGCTTAAGTTTAAATTTTGCTTTGCTTTGGTTGCAAATTCCCTATAGTTAAGGGCGCGGTAACTATGTGTGTTGTGGATCGGAATGCCGATCTGCCAATACGGTTGAGGAGTTTGGATTAATGATTAGAAAATCAATCATTGCCGTAAGTGCTGTTTTGTTCACAGCAGGTGTTGCGAATGCAGCGGTTACGAATTTTACCGAAGGAACTGGTTCGAACAGACCCCTGATCGTGGGTTCGATTGACCTTGAAGATGCCGCGCCTGGTGGCGCAGGATTTGATCTTGGTACTTTGGGGGCGGGAGACACATTTGGCATCTATGGACGCATCGTAAGCTCGGTAGACCGGTTCAGTTTTGACTTCTCGTCTGCATCTGCTTTTGACGTGTCTTTTGATTTTGATGGCTATGAGACCGTTGATGGAACTGTTGCGCAAGGCTGGTCCGGGTTGATAGATCAGAGTGTTGTGAATGCTGGTACAGACCCCAGCACTACTGGAGGGGGCAAGGGTGTAAAAATCTCTCTTTTCCAGGGTTTGACCGAGGTGGTCAGCCAATCTTACACAACCAATGTCGTCTTTGGAGCGGTCAGTTCAATCTTTAGCAACATTGCTGCCGGCGAATATACGCTGGTTGTTGATGGTTCAGTCGGGCCAAACAAGAGCCGCCCGGCGCTTTATGATCTTCAGGTAACAGCAGTGCCGATACCAGCTGCATTGCCACTTCTCGCTGGAGGGATTGGTCTGCTTGGTGTCGCGGGTTGGCGCCGCAGAAAGAGCGCAACCGCATAATATTATTGCGGAAAGTAGAAAATAAAGGCGATCCAATGGGTCGCCTTTTTTTGTAGAAGGAAACATTTTTGAATTCAAATTGTGACACAAAAGGAGTGCTACCAACTGATTTTTTTGGCCAAGTCCTCATACCCCCTCCACATGGGTCTTCCAGTTCCAAAAATTTCATTGGTTCCGGCGACGACTTTCGAGATTCTCTTCAAAGGCTCGGCGTAAAAGCCAACAATCTTGTTTTTCTCGACAATACAGGCAAAGCCGTAAATCATATCACCGTAAGCAAGAGCCAACGCTTTGGAGTTCTTTTTTCCCTGAGGCCCCAGATTTTCGATCGCCTCCATTGCAATGATTATTCGGTTAGCGTCTTTGTACGCCGCGACGAATTTGTCTCCCATCTTGAATCCCGCATCGAGATCCTTGAAAATTCGTCTTAACGTTGACGTCTCTTTTGAGAGTTCCTTCAGCTGAGGGTGAAGATCTTTGTACGTGTCTATCTTGCTTACGAGAGCACTACCCCATTGCAGCACCTCTCTTACTTTCATGTCGCTCTTGCTGTGTCCTGCCTCCCAATCTCGCTTCCATGTATCGAAGTGTTTTTTCTGCAAACGTGCGCCTGCAAACGGATCAGTGAAGGTGGTCTCAAGCGTGTTGTAAATGTCGTCAGATAATCCCATGGTTTCGCATGCTCCCCAGAAGTTTCCCGATGCGTTATGTTTATTCACTTAATGGTCAATACATATTCTGCTCTAGCAGGCGTTCAAAACTAGGAATAACGACAGGACCGAAGCTGCATTTCGATGTCGCCGTGGCCACTATTGAAGCGATGTTGGTGCGACAAAAACACCAAGGAGCCAATCGAGAAGGAGCCAGCCGAGGTCACCTTCGGACAGATTAACAGTTAGTTTTGTAGCAACACTGACAACGTGCCCTCATTTTCCGCCAAATCTCAATAACTGATACAAACAGATTGCGATGGACGCTCTTGAGGCTGCGTTGACCATTCCACACTTGAAATGAAACAGTCACTCACAAAGAGCCGAGGCAAGGCTGCGTTCGAAAAAATCCCAGGGGCGAATACCCGGGCACCCCTGGGATTTGAAAGCAATTTTTCTCCAATAGCAAAAAATACAACCACACAATCTACCCTAGGTAAACACGCTATTAACGTGTATGCGTGGTAGATACCTATCATGGCGGGAGTGCGGTAACGGCATGGCGCACTTAGCGCGGCTGTTCGGTATCAGAGATATTGATGTGTGACTTAAGGATTCGATGATTGCCAATACAAAAGTGGCGCTTCCCAAAGCTGGAACCGCAAACAAAAGCACTGATCGCTCTCTTCATTGGTGGGTTTGTTTTTGCGACGCTTCTTGTCTGGTGGTCAGAACGATACTTTGGCGCCAACTGAGGTGTTAAATCGTTGAATGAATACGTTTACTGGGCTGTTCTTTTTTCATCTCCACTATGGGGATATACCGGCTTTCGGTTGATACTCAAACACTTTTGCCCTGAAACGCCTGCGCAAGATGAAAGAGAGACGGAAATAGACCACGTTCATGAAGAGCCAAACGACTGGTATGGATAGTCATACACGAATTAGAGTGCAGATTTTTGATACCGAAGATAATCACATTGGCACATGTGGCTCAGCTGCCGTTCCGCGACAGGGTGAATGTAACTGTATTGCCCATGAAGCCTTTCGAGTGATGACTGTAGCATGGTCGTTAGGTAGTCCGCCGAGCACCAGCTCAATAACGAAAAAGACTGAGTGACTCAAAAGGAGCCAATGTTGTGGGAGTAATTTTTGATGTTCTCGTGCTGCTCGCTTTGCTCGCAGTGTTGTACAGCATGAGAAACATCTGGCGCACGAGTTCTTTTTCAAGAAATTATTTCGACTGGTCAGTAAAGTTTTCAATTTTTGTTTTGGTTGGCTTTACTTTATTTATTACTTTGTTCTCTGGGCAGCTATCTTACGTGTACTTAACCGCAGACGAACAAAAGAGGGTTGAAATACGAGATGGTTTGCGTGACATGTGGAAACCAGGCGGAGCAATCGATCAAATTCTTTCGAAAATTCGCCGAGATCAGTAAGGAGCAGAGACCGTAACCGACGTTGTGTTGCAACCGTTTTTCGAATGCCACTGCGCACATTGCGAATACCCTGCTCTTGGGCTAAGCGGCAATCGTCGTGTGGCTGAAAAAGAGATTCAAAAGTTCGGGTGGAAACAGGTCAAACTCGATAGCAATTGGCGGTGGTTATGCTGCGAACCGACCGAAAAAGCAGCTTGATTCAAGAGGAGCCGAGACCGTGGCTATCGAAATTGATTGGCTTGGTGGAAACTGCCCCGTGCAGGCTGTAGGGAAGATAGATGGTGAACCGTTCTACTGTTCGACTTCAGCGCCAATGGGACAAATTGAAGAGTTTGCATAGAGGAGGATTTTTGGTTCATCGTAGCTGATCAAGGAGCGAAGATGAGACGGAAATCCGGGCCGGGTAAGCCGCGTTCTCCTGATGCTATCTGTTCCGTTGTCGGTGGTGTTTCTTTTGGGATTTACGATACCTTTTGGGGAGATGTCGAGCGGCGCAGGCGCTGCTTTGAGACCTGCAATGGTATACTTTACCGCCATCGTGCTTTGGCCGATACCGGTGGCTACATTTACTCACTTCGGTTGGGCTGTTGGCAAAGCAATTAAGCTTAGGGACACAAATGAAAAAGTGTGACTCATAAGGAGCCAAGTATTGTTTTTGAGTGATAAATTAATATTTGCTCTACTGATTTCTGCTCCCTCATTAGGTTTAATATTAGGGGTGTTGAGGAAAAAAAGATCAAAAGGTGCGTATTATATTTTATCGGTTTTTTCTATTTCCAGTTTGGCAGTATATACTCTAGCTATGTTCGTGGCTTGGCTTGCTGTGGACGTATTGCCCCCAAAACCATTTCTACAGCTGTTCGGCGCACAGATAGTGTTCGGATTTCTACAGCTGGTCGCTGTGCCGGTATTGATTGTAGCATTTCTTTGGCCGATTTTTTTGGCAGTTTTCTTCCACGGCGGTTGGATGTTGGGCGGTTATTGTCGGCTAGCAATTCAAAGAATATTCTGTGCCTCATAAGG